GCCAAGATCCAAAGATGCACAACTTTCAGTGTCTCTTTTCCCCATCTGTACCTCTGCCTCAAGGCTTGATGGCACCTGGGACTGTGACCAGCGATGAGCTTGGGCCCACCCGCTGCCAGGCCCACAGGGCTGCCAAGGAGAAAGAGCACACAAACAAACATCCGGCCTTTGTTAAGCTTTGAAGATATTACCTTGGACTTGGGGAGGATAAGCTTTCTTTCAAACTAACCAATCTTCCTCCTAGTTCTTTGTGGGCTTGTGCTGGGCCCTCCCCGCAACCAATGCCTTTCCTGAATCTTCCAGGGTAGACTCCTTCGCTTTGTGATTGCCATTTTGTCTCCGACTGCCCATGCCTCACAGTTCTACCTGTCATCTGGCTTCTACTGTGCTTGCCTCAACAGAGTAATTTCCCTTTTATGTTTATCCCTCACTCCCCCCCGCAACCCCCCGCCCATTCCCCACCCTATGGTTGCAAAGCTGCCACTTCCTACTTAAGCAGGATGATGTCTGATTCCATTTGTTCCCTTCCTTTATTAATAACTAACTAGCTACCTATGCTAACAGTAGCATTTTAAAAGAAGTCCCTAAATCCTTTATAGCAATGAAGCATATATTCTAACTGAAACGCGTGGCTTCTTTTGAGCTGGATGCAAAGGTGATTTCTTTCCTGGGTTCTTGTCCAGGTGGATTCAAAGAATGAAGCTGCGAACAAAAGGTGGTATATGAAAAGGTGAAAATTTATTGGAAACAAGTACAGATAAGCCCCTTTTTCTAAGGTTTATAAAGGCTGCAGTTCTTTGTTTCTTGATATTCCCCCCTGATTGGTCACTATAACAGCTTCAGAGCTCAAACCCAACATGGGAACCCCCTCTTTTTCTCTCCCCCTTCAGTGGTAGAATTCTCTATCTCCTGTGAAAATATGTCTTCCTCTTACTCCCATGTGTCAGCATTTCTCTATCTCGGGTGGCTTGTCCCTATCTTCTGTGAATGGGTGTCTTCCTCTCCCCTTATCCGGTGGCACCTTTTGTCCTTTGTGAATATATGCCTTTTGGCTGCTCCATAGACCTCACCTTTGTAGCGCTCCCCCCATGGACCCTCTTTATTTCTAAAACTCCCTAAACCTGCCTATTTTACCCCTAAAAACTCCTTTCATAATAGATTTCTTAATGTAAATAAAGTTTTGCTTAGTGTATGACCTGTATAACTGTGTTGAATTTCCTTGCCTGGATCAGTACTAATGTTTTAGTTCTGCTCTCAGAAAATCAAGTGTTATGCCTTAATATATCAGAAATTAAAATTTTTTTTAATAAGTTAGGAGTAAGAAACCTATCAGTTGTACTTCTTCTGAATGATATGACCTCAGGATTTTGCCTTCACAGAGTTATATATTCTGACTGAGAACATAATTCCAATATCTGGCTTTGGTCTGATCTGGTGTGTTTTTTCCCTTTGGTTTCCCCAGAACTGTGTCTACACATTCTCAGATAATACTGAAGCTTCCTGACTACCCACTTAATGCCGGGGTTCTTGATCCAGCATCTAGAAGGGTTCAGGAATCTGGAGAAGGCGCTGTGTGTAGATTAAATAAGAGTCCAGAGACGAAACATAATTTTGAAAGGCATTGGGGGGGCCAGAGGAGCTTAGCTAAAGAAACCAAGTTCTCCTTGTCTCTGGACCCCTTGCTATTTATTAACACAATTTGTCCTAAGGCAAGGTAGATATGCACATCAAAGGTAGGGCTAGGTACAGAGTCCATTGTCAGATTGGTGAAAAACTGCCTATGGCTGCTCAGGTGTTTGGCCAGTAAGAGGCAATAACATGTAGATTGAGATGCCCTTAGCTATCTGGCAGTAAGCAATCATTTTTGCATCCTTTTCACATTTGGGGAAATGCCCTCAGCCATCTCCAGATGATTCAGCCCTGCTGACATGCTGGAATTGACTTCCGGCACCCACTTCTCAAGACACAAGGTCATTTAAAAAATGTATAAAATTATGAATTTCAAAATATATGTTACCTCCCAGGTTTTGGCCTAGGATCAGTGGTCAGCAAACTCATTAGTCAACAGAGCCAAATATCAACAGTACAACGACTGAAATTTCTTTTGAGAGCCAAATTTTTTAAACTTAAACTATCTAGGTAGGTACATTGTTATTAACTTAATTAGGGTACTCCTAAGGCTTAGGAAGAGCCACACTCAAGGGGCCAAAGAGCCGCATGTGGCTCGAGAGCCGCAGTTTGCCGACCACGGGCCTAGGTCATTCATTCTTTCCTATTAACTTTATCCCTCTAGGTAACCTATTCAATCCCATAACTCCCAATCTATACTAAACACTTTACAGCCTTTATCTCTCTTCTCAGCTTCAAGTTTATATATCTAAATGTCTACTTGATTTCTTTACCAAGATCTCAAAACATAAGTATGCTCTTGTCTTCCTATTGTCCTCATTTTCCTTCTCCAATCGTCATCATATCAATAAATAACACCATATCCACTCTATTGATTAAACTAAGGTAGAAATTATCATTAATCTTCTGTTTCTCAGCTCCCATACCTTACCTAGCAGCAAATCCTGTTATTTCTTTCCAAAATATACCTTATTTGCATCGCTACTCCTCTAGTTCAAGAAATCTTCACTCATTTGGGCTCATGCAATAGTCTATTTAATGGTTTGCCTGTTTCTACTTTTGCTCCCTAATTAGCCATTCTGCACACGGCAGCCATAGTGTGTTTTAAAATTCATGGCATCCTTCTGCTCTATACCCTCCAATGGTTTCTCGTTGCACGTAGACTAAAATCCAAGCTCCACACAGCCTCTACATGGCATGGTCACTGCCTCCCTCTCCAGTCTTATTGCTTATCTCTCTCTTACCTTCTCCTTGCTTTTGCTCTGACCATGTCAGGACACTGTAAATTATTAGAAAACACCAAACTTATTTCCACCTTTGCAGCTTTGCTGCTTTTCCCTTTACTTTGAGCTCTCTGGCCTATAATCTTCATATGCATGGTTTCCTCTTTTAATCCCAGTCTCAGCCCAAATGTCATCCTTTAAGAGACACTTTTCCTGAGAATCTGTCTAAACTTCTCTCAGTTCTTCCCATTTTATCCACTATTATTTTGTACATGGCACTCATCAGTACTTAAATTTATCTACTTGAATGTTATTTTTTTATCCTTTAAAATATAAACTCTATTTAAACAGTGACCTTTTCTGCCCTTACATCACTCTGTGTTCAACCTGTGGAAGAATAATTAGGATACACTCAATATTTGTCCTGGGAGGGTATCTATAATAATGAAAGCATCATATGCTAATTAGACCAGACAGCCAAATGACCTTCCTGACATCCTTCTGGATGACCTTCTGGACGAAAAGGGGGCTGCGAGGGCTGAGCCCTTGCACGAATTTTGTGCATCAGGCCTCTAGTTGGCACATGCAATGTCCAACTAGGAACAGAGAGCCCAATCAGCATGGCTCAGTGGTTGAGCATTAACCTATGAACCAGGAGGTCACAGTTTGAATCCCAGTCAGGGCACATGCCCTGGTTGTGAGCTTGATCCTCATTGGGACCATGCAGGAGGCAGCCGATCAATGATTCTCTCCTATCATTGATGTTTCTCTCTTCCTCCATCTCCCTTCCTCTCTAAAATTATTTAAAATATATATAAAATAAACAAACAAAATAAACAAAAGACAGAAATAGTTTAATGACAATATGATATTGAAGTGATTGACATTTAATCCACATTCTCCCTAAACTGGTTTAGTAACATGCAAGTCTAAGTGACTCTTAGACACAAGAAGTTTCTTTAGGTAAATGAGTTTGTATAATTCTATTAGAGAATTATAAAATGTTTTTGTCTATTATTCTGTAAAGTTTTACAGAAAAGAACCTTACTTAATCAAATTTAATGAAATGAATTCCAAAGTTAGTTGGCCTGGGAAAGGTTTCTTTCATCATTTAACATATTAGCCTTTGAAAATGCTGGTCTAAATCAACACAGATTCCCTTGAAAAATAAAGTCGCAAGAGGACAACATCTTTTTTCAACATTTTTTAATAAAACCTCAATAAATAAAAACACATTTACTTTTAAGAATTTGATAGGAAATTAGAAATAACAGCATTGAGAGAAGAGGAAAAATATTCAGGTAAGTAAACAAGAGTAAAAATCCACAAAACAATAATAGCAAATTGTTTTAAATTTTTTTTTAAAAGTGGATACTCTCAAGTAGTTCCAGATTTAGAAGAATATTATTGGGAAATTTTGAACAGAAAGTAATATAGTCTGATAAAAATTTATAATTATCAAACTTGTTCCTTAGAAAGTCTAAAAAAGGTGGGATAGTATCAACATGACTATCCTGGTTATAGCTAGGGAAAGTGATGTAAAACCAGAAATTCAAAGTTAAATCAAGGGAAGGATTAGTGAGATTAAACTGAGAGGAATAAGTCCATAAAATCTATACTTAACTACAACATGAGGGATAGCTTTAAAAAGATGCTGTAAAAAATCTGATTTTCAGCTACATAAAATTTGCCAACATGGCTATAGTGCTTTGAGCTTTCATCATCCTATATAATAAAAGGCTAATATGCAAATTATCCCCTCGGGAGTTCGATCAGAAGACCAGGAGTTTGACTGCTCGCTTTGATGTGTGCTGACCACCAGGGGGTGGTGCAAAACAAAGGATGGCCCCAGTCGGCAGCTGGCAGCTGGGGGAAGGCAGCTGGGGGAAGGAAAGCCTGGCCAACAGCTTGCAGCCTGGAGAAGTAAGACCACGATCAACCCTGATTGCCAGCCAGGCCTAGGGACCCTATCTGTGCACGAATTTCATGCACTGGGCCTCTAGTATGTTTATATTTTTCTTTAAGGCTTAGATGAAAAACAAATATGTATGTTTCAAAAATTTGTCATGGATAAGGAATATATTTAACTCCCAAATGAAAAAAGTATATTTATTTTTAACTCTCATGTCTCTATATACCTCTCCACAGACACTGTTATATTTTTAAACCTCATTCCTGGAAGCACTGCAGATGTCATATCAGTTTACAAAGCCAAAGAGTACCTCTGGGAATGGCATGGCAGTAACTGAAATAGTATTTGGCCAAATTAAGAGTGTATGCCAAGGATGCCAAAAATCACAGTAACCTGGCAGGTATGTAGCTATTATTTAACTGTGTGATCATTGCTGGTTTCTCTACTGGAAAACTATTAGCTGTTTATGCGGTGAAATGGAGCCCGTGATTTAGGCAGAATATCTCTCTATTTTTATGTCAGTAGTAGCTGTTTGGGGATTGTACCCAATCACAAAATAGGATTTCTCAAGAAAACCATTTGGGGGAAAAAAAAATTAACAAGTTTCTAACTGAGACACAAAAAAATGGGAGAATATCAATTTAGGGATTATTTTTGGCTATAAAACTTAATATTCAGAATAATGTTTATGTTCTGGAATACTTATATGTTTTTCTTTCTAGTACTAAACATATTGGCTTCATCTTAGTGTTGCCGAAGAACTCTAATTTCAATTTTATCTAATAATTTCAATTCTATTCTGTCAGAAAACAAATATGATGATTATTGTTTTAAATAATTTTCTCTATATATTCATGATTCCTGGATCTCGGCTTTCTCATCTGCGTACTGGTCTGGTGATCAATGTTGTACTTTAGAAGAATTTCGCTCTCATGGTTCTAAAAATCTCAAATTGCCCAGTTGTCTAAGTATGAAAATGCAGCATGTGTTCTTAAATCTGTACAAATAGTCTCCTTCTCTCGATATATATTACTCTTCTCCTAACTGACAGTGCTGAATGGACACATTATATATACATATATAAAAATTATTCTATCTATTTATAAATTTTTATTTCAATACTTTCAAATTTTTAAAATTGTCAAAGTAGACATTTTTGACAATTTAAAGAGATTTCCAACAATTTTTTTTTAAAAAAAACAAGTGAACATTGTGATTATGACATTATTTGTAAAAGAGCCTTTTATATTTTTGTAATTTTAATGTCATCCATACCTTTTGGGACATTATATTATTCAGTTGATACCTTTTTGTTTGCTATTTTAAAAATCTCTTAATTGAGGAGTCCTAAATAATTTCCTTTTTTATGCTATTTTTATAACACATGGTAATGTATTGAGTTGTTTCCATGCTTTTTATATCATAGAAATTTTAAGTAGCATCTGAATTTTCAAAATTATTAGCAGAAATGTATTATTTTATAATTTTAAAAAATATCCTTCTTGTCTCTCATGATTACCCTGTCTATTTCTTAATTTTATTTCATTTTCTCCTAATTATAGTTGCCAACTTTTTGTGCAGTATTGCTTTATTTTAATGACCCTGCACTTTAATATTTTACCAGTTCTGTTTTTTATACTTTTACAAAATGTCTTAACCTTTGCAATTATTTTATTATTTCTACACAAAATATAGTTTATATTATGCTAGAGGCCCAGTGCATGAAAATTCATGCACTTGGGGGGGGGGTGCCTCAGCTCGGCCTGTGCCCTCTTTCAGTCCGGGACTCCTCAGGGGGTGTCCAACTGACAGCTTAGGCCCACTCCCCAGGGGGTCAGGCCTAAGCTGGCAGTAAGACATCCCTCTGGCAGCCCAGGAGACCTTGGGGGATGTCCAACTAAAGGCTTAGGTCGACATCCTTAGTGCTGCCGTGGAGGCATGAGAGGCTTCTGACTGAGTGTTGCTCCCCCTGTGGAAACACACTGACCACCAGGGGGCAGCTCCTGCATTGAGCATCTGCCCCCTGGTGGTCAGTGCGCATCATAGCGACCTGTCGTTACCAGGTCGTTCTGCTGTTAGGGTCAATTTGCATATTACCCTCTTATTATATAGGATTACTATTTTGTTTAACATAATCTTTAGTTAACATATTTTATTAATGTACCATAATCTGCAAATTGCTTAGTTTGAATTGCTTATGCTATTGCTAAATTCCTTCTTTTTGTCATTATTTATAACTCTGTGATAAATATCATTATAAACACTTCCTTGTAAATTTCTTTGATTTTTTTTCCTGAGGATGAATTCCTATAAGAAAAATTATTAGTCTAAATACTTTTTCTTTTTGCAGCTTTGTTATGCATTGGCAAATTAATGGTCTCTGAGAAAGTTTTCAGAATATCTATTAATATACATTCATAAGTTTGCTTCTGAAGCATATGGAAATAGATTTAGATAATATTTGATTTTTTCCAGCTATCATGTATTAAAAAATATAAATGAAACTAGGTGACCCTATAATTCCTTTTTTTTGCAGTTTAAAGAAATGATTGAACAAATTTCAAAGATATTAGTTTTAGAATTCCATTAATGAGGAGAAAAGAGTAGATATGAAAATAGTACATTTCCATAGAGATTTTGGTGCTATCCACAGAAGAAATAATTTAAGTGATTTAGCACTGAGCTATAAACTTTGAACTCTAATTTTTCTATAAAATTATGCTTTTACTTTATTATATAAATAAGGGAGGTGAAACATATCTAAGGTAGTTAATCCTTTCACTGAAACAAGTGTAGGAATATCATTGGGGAGAAGCAGAATGAGGCTATTCTCTGTACTTTAATAACCTCTCCCCTCTGACTTTCAGTTTTTTTTTTCTTGTCAAATTTTCTGTACTCTCCAAGGACATTCTAACATTGGAAAAGCACATTTCAACATAATTTAGAATAACAAAACAATTCTCTTGGCCTGCCCTGGCATAGGCCTTCAGTTTTGTATATTGTAATGGTTGCTTAGAATGAGGGAACATAATTTTATAATTCAAATTACTTATGGTTTTTGTACTCTGAAGAAAGAGATGGAAATATATGTCATTGGCTTTGGAAATGCCTGTGTTCAAATTTGTGTTTGCTACTTATTAATTTAGTGACTTTGGGGATGCTAATTAATATCCCTAAGTCTCAGAAAGATTTAATGCTAGAATGAAAATTTATATAAATTAATTTTCAATCTATTGCTTGTTTCTTATGTTTTCTTATTTCTTATTAAAATGTTTTCACTGTTCAATTTTGTGTGGTAAATGTGTGTGTGTCTGAGTGCACACAATTTAATAGGTTCTAGAATCATAAATATGTACAGTAGCCACTTTTTCTGAGAGAACTTATTAAAGGGAAACTTGGATACAAATTTCAGATCTATCATCCATGAGCTATATGACCTTGGATAAGTTTCCTAATTGTTCCTCTGTTTTATACACCACCCATTTCCTTTCCATGTACTGGCCAGGTGAAGAAATTACTTGGGCAAAATGAGTTTTATTCATGGAGCTGATTCTTTATCTCTTCCAGATCTTTTATTATACCCTAGCTAACCATCTCATTATGCACACCACTAAGGTCAGAGAAAGGATGTCAAACAGCAAAGACCTCCTTTATCTTTTGGTGTCATTACTAATGCAGTATATCCTTCACATTTATACTAAACTACCACTTATTTAAATTTCTTTCTTCCATCTGTCGATACTGGTATAGCAATGATATGTAATTTCTTTTTTTTTTTAAGTTGTATACCAGTCTGCTCAGAGCACATGTCAAACTATTCCTGCGAAGCAGTGAGTGAGCCCATCCCCAAGAGACATCTGTATTGAATTGAGAGCTCCCTGGAGCTAGGAATCTTTCTTGTTTTGTTTCAGTTGTTTGCTTGTTTCCTTCATAATCTTTACTTTGGGAAAAATTTGTATTGAATTCACAATCCATCTTATTCTTCTCTTCCCAAAACAATATTGGAAATGAAATAAAATATATAGCCACCATATCATCAATCCACAGTTACAGTAATGCTTGTGTATGTGGCATTTACATGCCTGGTAGACGATTTCTTATGTAATTGTTTAGAGTTATGTTTTTCATTGATTTTCATTTATGTTTTGTAATAAGGTTTTCTAATTTCAGTCCAGTTATCCATTTTGAAATTTCTTTTTTGCTAATAGCTTTTGTAGCCTATTATTTACTATGTCATTAATTACTATAAAATAATATTAATATTTTTAAATGTGCATTACATTATTGATCATTCATCAATTTTCTAATCACGTTTAATATTTATAACAAATTATCTTCCTTGTCTCAAATTGGTTATGAATAACAAAACCACCTTTTCCAATGGTTCAGATTTATCTATGATCAGTTTTTTGACATCAAAAGCACTCAGTGGTGCCCTAGCTGGTTTTGCTCAGTGGATAGAGCATCAGCACTCAGACTGAAGGGTCATGGTTTCCATTCTGGTACCTCGATTACAGGCTTGATTCCTACCCCCAGTCCCCCAGTTGGGGCATGTGCACCAGAGGCAACCAATCCTTGTGTCTCTCTCACATTGATCTGTCTGTCTCTCTGTCTCTCCCCCCCTCCCCCACTTTCTCTAAAAATTAATGGAAAGATATCCTTTAGTGAGTATTTTTTTAAAAAGCACTCAAGTGATAAATGAAAGATTTAAGATGTTTAACAGAATGTAATTCAACTCAACTGAAATTATGAAAAAAGAAACAAAATTTCATATAATTCTTGACACCATAAAGTCAGTCTCAGCATTGTAGCTCTCTGAGATTGTCCCAAAATGTAAATATCTTACTTCTAGCATTAAAAGTAATTTTTTTATTTTGAAAAAAGCAAAAGAATCACTACATAAGAGTTTTAATGTAGATGTTTTTGTTTTTAATTTATCCTTTCTGGTTGGCTGATATAATGACTCCTATCACTGTTTGACTCATAAAGTCAATTACTAGGTAAGGAATTGATATCTGAGAAAGAAATTCTAGATGACACCCTGGGTTTAGGACTTGATCCCCTAGAGTAACATTTCAGTGTGTAGGTAATAGAAAATAGTCTAAACTATTCTGTGCATATGAAAGTTGTGTTGTTCCTTTTGCAATACATAGTAAATCTCTTCTGTGATATTTATGTGTTAGCAAATAGTAAACTTTACTTCTCAACAATATATAAAGTGAATTGGAGTTTTTATTTTACAACAGCTAAATAGCTAAACTGAGCAAAGCTAAAATGTGGAAGAGTTTTAGTCAAGAAAACATATATCAAGTCTAGGATTTACTTTCCCTGATCACAGTTAAACAATGCTAGTTTTATGGGAAATAAAAACAATTTCAGCACACTGCTATGAATTTGGGG